GTATGATCGCTGGAACTGAAATTACAGATACATAAATACATCGAAAGGAAAAAGGGATTATCAACAAATCAATGAGAGAGAGGATCAACAGGTTTGTTTATTAGGATGAATACGTTTGTTATTTCATAAATGAAACAACACCGATCTGAGACGTTCCAATCTTTTGGAGGCCCCGCTACATTTTGGTTGCATTACATAAATGAGATAACAGAGAATATATGTTAAGAACAAAAATAGGCTAAACCTAAAACGATTAACAATTTTAAAGTAAACCTAAACCATTAATAATTTGAACCTAAAAATCAAACAATTAATGATTTGAACCTAAATAATTTCGGCTATAGTTTTACACAGGTCGATAAAAAGACCCTAAACACATGTAAATTTGGGCACTCGAAAATCTCATATTTAACATGCTAAGGGACTATCCTGACACCGATTACAAAAACAAGTCAAACTTTGTGTTTGGATCATATGATGGAGCGATCAAATGCAAATCACTCAATTTGTACAAACCGTGCAAACTTCATTCAACCAATCATAATTTTTCATTTTGTTCATTTTTTTGTAATTATGAAAGATTGATTAATCATTTTTATTGTGGAGGGTGTTAATCATAGATATTATCATCTTCATTATTTTAATTTTAGAGAAATACATGAAACAGTTTCATTAAAATTTTATTAAGTAATATATGAGACAATTTCATAACCATATATGAAACAACTTCATCAAAAAAAAAAAAGTATCATATGTAACAATTTCACAAGATTAAACAATTTCATGAAAAAATTTCAAAAGGTTAAACAATGAAATCGACGAATGAGAATGATTTACACGGTTTACACAAATGAGAGCGATTTTCATTTGATCGCTCCTCTATATATATATAAATAACACTATCTTTATATAACACAAGTCTTTGCTACAAAACTATTTTAATTTAAATAAATTTATTTCTTGTTTTATTTGTGAAACAACACTACATTTAAAGCATATAAACACGAGCTTCAATTTATTTATCAGGATGGACTCCTGTTGTTTCATATATGAAATAACAATTCATTTCAATACATATTAAATTCCAGATCGGTTCATATATAAAATATCAGTTATTTTAAAAGTATCTAAAACGATATGTTTGCTTCATTTGTTGGAGTTCTTTGTCATTTCATCCTTTTCACACATTTTTCTTACTTGTTTCTTTTTTATCTTTCTAATGTTTGTCTTTTCTATTTTTTTTAATACATAACTTACTTATATTATCGTATATGGTTTTAATTTGAGTATATATATATATATATATATATATATAGGTTTATATGAGAAGTAAAGAAGTGATCCTAACCTTTAATATGGTCAAGATTTATGGTTTTGATTGTGAAACACCTGATAATTTCTTGCATAGTATGCAAAAGATAGACATTAGTTTCTTAACTTTTACAAATAAGCAATAAAACAAGTTCATACGTAAACCATATCTTCATTTGTGAATTCGTGTAGTTCACATATGAACTATTCAACTGATTAATATATGCATCCCTATGATGTACACATGAACTAATTAACTGATTCATATAAACTATGGGTTCACATATATGTTTGTTTGCCGCCTATTTGTAAAAGTTACGAAATTGTCTATCTATTTTTCGCTTGACCAATCAAAACCGCAATTCTTGACCAATCTTGACCATATGAAAGGTTATGATCATTTCCTTCTGAAATTTCTTACCCTTTCTCAAATGCACTACTCATTATATATATAACCATACATATGGCGTCGAAAGATCGTGTGAGAATGAGAGTTAAAGTGAGAAGTATAAGAAGAGATCTGAACCTTTGATCACTTTTAATCTCAAACTCACTCATGAATACGTTTGATACAAGGATTGGTCTGATGTATTTCATTCTAATATACATCAAAAGATTGAGATCTCTTTTTACGTTTTTCACCTTGACTCTCATCTTCAGTGGAATCCAATCCCACATACATACGATATAAAAACATCGTTGGCATTTGTTAAAAAGTGGAGAGAATAGAATTGAAGGGTAATTTGGGAATTTGAGTAAAAAGGGGAAGGAGTGGGTTAAGGCCAAAATTACGCGAGGAGCCGAGGGAGTGACAGATACACCCTGAGTCCGGCTTTGTGAGAATCTTGCGTTTCTCTCCTAGATTCCCATATTCTTTTTTTCACAAATTTCTGCGTACATCACATAATTACTTGCAAGTATACATAGATCCTCACTCCCTTCTCTTTCTCTTCGTATCCATTTTCATCATCAACATCAACAGCAAAATTCAAAATCCGACAACATGGGGAGCTTAAATCCGCCTCCTCAGCTCAGCTTGGATTTCAAACCTACTTTTATCCCCAAAACAATCACTCAATTTCTAGGCCAGGTATCAAGAATCGGTAGCCCATCTGACAAGATTTTGAAAGTCGATGATTTTGTTAGCCGATTAGAAACCGAAATGCGGAAAATCGACGCCTTCAAACGGGAACTCCCTCTTTGCATGCTCCTCATTAATGATGGTTCGCTTTTTTTTTTTTTACTCACACCTGGGTTTGGGTTTTATCTGTTGATTCAATGGCATCCCGAGTTGGGTTTTTGATTTTTGTTTCTATTTACAGATGGGATGTTTTTATCTAGGGATTTTTTTGTTGTTGTTGTTGTTGTAGATGGGATTTGGGTATTTGAAATCATGATTTTGATATCAATGTATTTTCACTACCTCTGCTCACCAACTGTTTGAAAAATTGCTAAGTGAGGGCACACTTAGTAGAATTTTTCCTACTAGGGGATAATTTTCCAGAGTGGCTTCTTACTGTTCGATAATTTGTTTGACAATTGTTTAAAGAGTGCAAATGAACTTGTCTAATGTTTTGTTTCTTTCAGCAATTATTGTATTGAAAGAGGAGTCGATGGTATTAAAGAAATCATCAAATGCCGAACCAGTACTTGAAGAATTCATACCACTCAAGAAGACTTGTGATGAAGATGAACAACTTGAAATGAACGGGAAAGAAAAGGGTGCTGGAGATAAGAGGAATTGGTTGAGTTCCACACAACTTTGGAACACCAATGACAACACCCCAAACACAAATCAAACCCAAAATTGGAAACCAAATTCGATACAGCAAATAACTAAAAAGGTAACAAGGGGTTAACATATTCTTGTACCGTAAGCTGTTTTAGAGTTAAGTGAAATGTATGTATGTGTTTATATGTTCAATATGCTTGCAGAGACCTTTGGAAGAAGATGATCCCTATGAACCCTGTAGAAACCCTGGGAGAGCTTTTATCCCGTTTAAGGGATGTTGTGCGATTACGATGGTGGGTACACCAAGGGAGGAAGATAGGGAGGAATTGCAGGTTTCTGGGCTCTCTCTTATCACCCCTGGAAGCAAGAATCCAGTGAGGGGAAACGTTTTACTTTCGAAATCCAGTGCTGATAGTAGATTGGTTCCTTGTTCTGCACCAAATTCTCAATCAAATTTACGGATTGATGGCCCTCAGGTTCAGCCTCCACATCAGCAGACATCTAGAAAACAAAGAAGATGCTGGTCTACAGAGTTGCATAGACGATTTGTCAATGCCCTCCAGCAACTTGGAGGTTCACAAGGTCAGGCCTCGATAGAAGATTATCTTTTTCCATATGTAGCATCCTAAATTCAACTGAATTTTTCGGGTTATAATTAGACTACCTGGCGAGTTTATAGCAAATAATTTTATGGGTAACATTCATAGATTGGCTACAATCAAGATTCAATTATGTTGTGCTTCTGAGTAATGGTATAACTGTTGATTGATCATTGAAGAATATGCTGATTATATGAGGATAATTGTTTTGCAGCTGCTACCCCTAAGCAGATTCGAGAGCTTATGCAAGTCGATGGGCTTACAAACGACGAAGTGAAAAGCCATTTGCAAGTGAGTTCTGTTGATATAACGCTCTCAACTTTTTCACCATTTACAATTTGTCCAATTGAAGGGTTGATTTCAGAAATAGTAAACTTATGTCGTTTGTTTGGCGTAAATTGTAGAAATACAGGCTTCATACACGAAGACTTCCATCTTCAAACACCTCATCTGCTAATCAGTCTGGTGTTGTTTTGGGAGGAGGGTTGTGGATGGGTGGCCAAGATCAGTATGTTGAATCCTCAAAGCATGGGAATATTTCGCAATCTGGTTCTCCGGATGGTCCGCTTCTGATCAGCACCATTGGTGGAACTTCGACCACCGGAGACAACAGCATGGATGATGGAGAAGATGAGAAATCTGAGAACTACTGCTGGAAAGGTCATCTGCACACAGATGATGTATAAATCTTGAATATTCTTTTTTGAGAAATAATGGGTTAATTGATATAGGTGAGTTTATATATATATATAAAAACAAGCTGAAAAATAACTTATACATAAAGAATGATGAAATTTTGCAGGATTAGGTTCCTTTTTTTTTTGTTTTTACAGATTTGAGTTGGTTGGCATTTTCTTGGATTCCTTGTCCAAGTAGCTTCATGTGAAGCACATCTGTATTTGAGATAAGAAACATGATGATTGAAGTACTCAGTATTTTAAACATATTATTCCCCTGATACCATCTTCAAGAAATCTTGAATCTTTTATCTTCATTTGATTACATTGCTAAGTCAGTCTTGGTTTTTTCATCCATAAATCTAGCCGTTTGGTTGGTTTTTCATTAAGTCATGTATGAAAAAAGTTGTTTGTGTAGACTGACTTTTTTGTATAGATTGGAGATGTTTTTATTTGACAGTTTTTCCTATAGATGGAAGGAGCTTGTTTTTTATTAGGAGGGGCAAGTTAGGAAATTCTTCTAGAAACTTACTGAATAAGCAACTTTCTATATCATTAAATCACTACCAGATAGTCATATATAGTTGGACGAATAAACTGTAAGTTCCATTAAGATGCTAACAAACGGACCCTAATTAGTGTCCTTGTAACAGGGGCTATCTAGCTTATTGGCTTTTTACAAAGTTGACTTTAAGAATATGATTCACTGTTCAACACTAGAGACTAAAGACATGTCAGATGAAGATTATTGAAGTAAAATTTCATTTGAACAGTATACACATGTGAATACAAGTGATTGAAATTGTTTTTTTTTTTTTTGGTTTTATACATGTGAGCATGTTATGCATATGTGCATACCAGACAAATTGTTTCCATATTACTTGTATACACGTCGTCCAAATGAACGTTTACTATGATGTTTCTCAGTTTTTTCATTTTTTTTACGGTTTTTTCCCGAACCTTTAACTCTGTATATACATATATAAAAGATGCTTACCAAATGAGAACTATTTTCCTTTATGTTAAAAAAGTAAATAATTTGCGAACCATCCAATTTGTTGTAATTTAATTTTAAAGATGCGTTTGTAGGTACCACTCAAAACTATCATGATTAAGTAGGGATGCCAATCAATCACCAACACCATGTATATTATAATCTCTATGTAGATAAATGGAATCTGATTTAATGAATTATTTAATACTAAAAGAGTAATCAGGCAATGTAACGAGACATATTTTAATTTTAATGTT